ATCCCTAGTTCCCACACATCCTGGAACTTCATAGTTATCTAGTGTATGTTGTCTTGGACATTTTTAATAGTACTATGGCCCCTCACTCAGATTGTGTATTCTATTTGAAACTGGACTGTTGGTAGGATGAACTGTATGACACTTTAAAGCAGGTTTGGGGCCAGGAAAACGAAGTGGTAACAGACTCAGCGATCTTTTGTTCGGCATGAGGTCTATTTTTTCTTAGAATCTGCGTGGCAGTAACATTTCTCGAAGTACCGCCTAATATTGGAATTTCCCTATTGTGGGGCAATAAAGGGATATCTTATCTTAACTAATATGTGCGCAGTGATGGTAATTGTACGTGCAACAAACACTTTATCTAGAAGGTTAATTTTCTGTAAATAACATAAATTCTACAACCACTACTTCCGATTCAACTGTTACTTATGGGCTGTGGCCAAATTTAATGTTATGGTTAGTGGAAAACTGTAGTAAACTGGTCGATTTGCCCAAAACTGCAGCTTATATATTGGTTAGCAAGTGCTGTCGAGTATTGTCGAAAAAGATGTGTTAGAGTGGGAACACGTACGGAGTGTCTGCAGCTCTTTTAGTATACACTACATGAAGAGATGGCTAAATATTAGTGAATTCCTTGTTGTAAATATTAGTGTTTTGTGGCTGTTTCCTGCAGATGGATCTGATTTCCACTCTGAAGTAACTGTTTCAGTTTGCTCATCACTATGCAATGCTTTGTATTTTGTACTGGGTGAGACGAACTACCCTGAATGAGTGTGTGCCTGTAGTAGCTCTCTAAAACTTTGGACCCTTTTTCTCTCTGTGTGTTCTCCCATCATCCCACCCCACCTCAACCCGGCAGGGATTTTGGACCAGGGTGAAGGCGTGCTGATCGTGTTCAACGAGCCGGTGGTGGACAAGACGTACGAGGCGGCCCTGGAGACCATTCAGAACATGAGCAAAGTGGTGGACTCGCTCTACAACAAAGCCAAGAAGCTAACATAAGGTCAGCCCCAGTGCAACTGCTAATGCTAGTGCCAGCATTCAACAGATGGCACAGTGGAGAAAGCCCTTTCCAGATCTCTATCCACACTCCATTATGATGAGTAGAACAATGTATAGCTCACCTGGTTCAACACTGTATACTATAATACTAATAACACTAGTGAGATAAAAATTTGTTTCTAATTTAAAAAAACAAAACAAAAAAAACAATAAGTAAGGATGCAGAAAATAATAGTAAATTTATATCATCAGGGTTCCCACCCATCCTGGAAAACCTTGAAAATCTGGAATCATGGAAACACCTGGAAACTGATTAAAGTTAGCACATGTCCTGGAATCCATCTCTAGAGATGTTGGTATTTTGGCCCCATACTCAGATCGCCTCCATAAAGCGAGGTGTGTATTCAGTTTGAAACTGGACTGTATGACACTCTAATGCAAAGTGGAACTGACTGCAGCGATGGTTTCAGCATTGAGTTCTGAATTTCTTTTTCAGTTATTGTATCGGTATCGGCCATGAGAAGCGGGTACTTATGGGCTTTTCGTGTAGGCTGAAAAAGCATCCAGTTTGTGCATTTGTAACGATAAGGCTGGTGATGTTCTACATTGTTCTTACTGTCAACAATTCCCATATAAAACAAACAAACAGTGAATGGATTTTACTGCCATGTATTGAGTCTCATACAGCTTTTTCTCTCTGGCGTAGAAAAAAGACGTGTGATTCATGAGTTAATCCTTCAAAACTCACCGGTCCTCATCTCCACTAAGTCGTTCGCAGACTTGCCCCTCCAGAGTCACTCACACTATTTTGCAATGTTAACTGGATTTGTGGAAATGTATCCAGTTAACTGTATTAACCTAGCCCTGTGAGAAAAGCAACCAGTTTGGCTCTTGTTTCAACTCGCTCTCCCAGCCTGCCCTCTGCCCTGAGCTGAAGGTCTCAAATGACTCGTTTCACCATCTGAGTTTGAATAATCAGTCTGATAATATTTGGAAGTATAGAAAGCCATTCATGTTAGGGCTCTGCGATACGACCAAAGTTTCATATCCCCATCACAATATATAGCTTAATGTAGCATCTTTCTATAAAATGACCACATGGAAAGACCTATTTCTTATTACATTTTCATATATATACATATAT